GTGGACCTCAGTAGACCTCAGTAGACCTCAGTAGCCCTCAGTAGACCTCAGTAGACCTCAGTGGAGCTCAGTGGACCTCAGTAGACCTCAGTAGAGCTCAGTAGACCTCAGTGGAGCTCAGGATGGCATGCACGGCGGCAGAGCTGGCGAGGAGGAAGGCCCGGCTGGAGGACGGCGCTGGCAGCAGGTCCAACGTGGTTTCCTTCAATCAGCAGAACTTTGAGCAGCTGCAGCTGGACTGTCTGCAGAACGGTTCTCTGTTCTGTGACCCGACGTTCCCGGCAGCCTGGGACTCTCTGGGATACAACCAGCTGGGGCGCCACTCGTCCAGAACCGTCGGCGTGGAGTGGAAACGGCCCACGGTGAGCTGACACAGCAACAAGCCACATCTGATCCAATTCTTCCTTTTTCATTTAATGAACATTTTTCTGTGAAGCATCCACAAAATTACAACAAAGCTTGAATTCACACGTTGGTCTAACGCAGGGTTAATGAGGTTCTGACCTCCTGGTCTTGTAGCTAAAGCGGGAGGTGGACGCTGTCGCAGCAGAAACCAACAAACATCAACAAGACAACAAGAAAACAGATTTTATCGACACAACCGTCACAATAAAGTAAAAATGGAGCTTCGCAGTGTTTCACCTCAATATTTATATTTAACATTGTTTATAGAAGTTTTCATCATTTTGACATGAAAACACCAAAACACGAGCTCCTGGAAGAACGCTGAGTCAGTTTAACGCTCTAAATGTTAGTGAGACGTTTGCTGAGCGTTTCTGTGTGACGGCTGGAGAAACGGTGGAATGAGGGACCAGGTGAGCCACATGCTGACGCTCACCTGGTCGGTTTGATGTGAACCAAAGCAGGACGTCTGTACCGACGCCCAGAGCTCAGCAGCGTATTTGTTCAGCTCACAGACATGAAAGACGAAGCGTGTCTGACTCACAGAACATTAAACATTCATCTGATAAGACACCAGAGCTGCTGTCACACCTGAGCAGGTGTTACCACCCTTCAGCTTTAACTCTGATGTGACTGAAACTCAAAGTTTCCGGTTTAATGGCTTAAAGCAGGACGGTTCCATGACGGTCCGTTATGAACACGTGACAGTCGGACGTCCTGCTGACGCCTCATCAGGAAGCAACAACCAGGAAAACATCAGTCACCGGTTCTGACCCTGTTCTGGTGTTTCCTGCTCACAGACCTCACATCTACTCTCATCACCTTCACAAAAACAAACGACAGACTTCATACGTTTAGATGTTCCTGCTGAAAAGCTCCATCGTCGTGGCATCATGGACGACGCTGTAGCGAGCGCCGAGCCGCCATGTGGTGGCAGCAGTGAGTCCTCTGGAGGAACAGACGCTCGACTCTTCATGTCCAAAGCAGAAAGGACGACGTCTCAAAATCACATTTATACTGATGCTGACAATCGTTAATGACCTGCTGTCTCGTCCAATCAGGAGCTGTGGTCCAATCCTCAGTTCATCATTGATGGAGCGAAAAGAACCGACATCTGTCAAGGAGAACTGGGTGAGAAGAAACGTCCTGGAAGTAGAACGTGGGCCATTTTGAAGTTCACGTTAAAAGACAGAAGTTTGTTTAAAATGTGTTGTTAGTGCTCAGGCAGTCATGTGACCTGTGTCAGGTAGCTAAGCCCCGCCTCCTGTCCTCCTGTCATCCAGGTGACTGCTGGCTGCTGGCGGCCATCGCCTCTCTGACGCTGGACCCTCAGATCCTGAACAGGGTGGTTCCTCCCGGCCAGAGCTTCGCCTCGCAGTACGCCGGCATCTTCCACTTCCAGGTGCTCAGACTCGCTGCTGAGATGAAGGTGTTGGTGAGAACGTATCAATGTGTTGGTTTGTTGGCTGTGCAGCTGCAGCGCCTCCTGGAGGACTCATGGTGAATGGATCCAGAGCAGCTAGAAGCTCTCTGAGAGTCGGAGCCCAGAGCTCCAGCAGCAGCTCTCCGAGGACGTTCTCCACTGTCCTGAGCACATCTGCTGGAAACTGTTCGTCCTTCGCTGGAGGTGACGTAATGCAGCGCTGGTTTTTACAGGGCGTCCCTGAACGCCTCACACAGCAGACCGGACGGTGTGTCAGTCCGACAGGCGGGAACTGGTACCAGGGCGGTTCTAGTGAACACCCCCAGCAGCAGGTTGCAGGTCACCTATTATGGGATGCTGGAGTCTGTCCTGTGCGAAAGCCTCAGAAACTTCGGCCTCAGAGCCGGCTTAGGGCTACCAGCGCCCCCCAGTGGTCACAGTAACCAGGTGTCGTGGTTAGAGAACCGGCCCACGGAGGAGGAGTCCATAAAACACTGATTAACACCAGAGAGCCCGTTAGCATCCTGTTAGCATCCTGACTGACGCTAGCGTTGTTTCCTTCAGCGCTAACTTCCTGCTTATTGACGTCACCATGACGACAAACATCCTCCAACCTTAATGAAGGCCGTATTGTAGTAACACCCACCATGTTCCTCTGAACCGAACCACGCCGTGACCGCCACGGTGATAGTACGAAGTGGGTGGAGCCTCCAGGGGAAGTGACGCCATGTTGATGTCTGTTTCTGCAGCTGTGGCAGTTCGGCGAGTGGCTGGACGTGGTGGTGGACGACCGGCTGCCCACCAGAGACGGGAAGCTGATGTTTGTCCACTCGGCGGAGGGAGGAGAGTTCTGGAGCGCCCTGCTGGAGAAGGCCTACGCCAAGTAAGAGATGCGAAGCTAACGGGGCAACAAGGTTAGCATCACGGCTGTGAAGCTTATTAGCTCTGTGATATTAATTCAATTCAATTCAGAAGAAGAAGATGGTCAGTGACCTTCACCAGTGCTGTCTCTGTACTATGATGGGTTCTAAATCCTGACTGAAGCTCTTCATTCAAACCATTCACATGCAGATAATCACATAGTTGGTTTGAAACGACCTTTTCAAGGATGTTTGAGATGAAAGGAAGGTTGGATGTTGGTCTGTAATTGGCTAAAACACCTTTTAGGATGCTAATGTTAGCATGTAGCTCAGAGGGCAGCTCAAAGAAAAACAGAATGACGGCCGAAGGGAGTCGGACCTCCAGCAGCTCAGCAGCCCGTCCAGAACCGTCAGAGTGAAACGGTCCAGCAGCTCCTGGTTGCGACTCAAGTCCAGCAACAAACAGCAGAGTTACTGTGTGTGTGTGTGTAGGTGTATGTGTGTGCTACTGTGTGTGTGCGCTGGCTGCTGATTGGCTGCTGATTGGCTGCTGATTGGCTGCTGATTGGCTGCTGGGTAAACACTGGACGCCCTGAAAACAAACAGACTGTCGGCTGCAGACAGAAGCTGTGAAACTGTTCCAGCAAAGAGTTTTAAAAACAACTAAACGAATGTGTGATAAAGTCCACGAGACTAACGAGACTAACGAGACTAACGAGACTAACGAGACAAACCGTCACCAGAACTGTAAAAAAAGAACAAGGATTTAAAAACAGGAAACAAACGGTGAGAGGCCAGACGTGGACGGAGCTTCTCTTTAGCTTCTCCTCTTATTTCTCATCAGCTTTAGTTTTCTTGGATGCTTCTTTCATTTCTGACAGACGTCTTTTATTCCGTCTGTCATTCAGCTCCTTGTCTTTACGGTTCAGTTGTGATGCATGTAAAGCGTCCGTCACGTTCCCGCTCTGGGCTCCTGCTTTAGTTCACATCAATCAATAAGAACATAAAGAGACATTCAGACGTGTCCATGAAGCTCAGCTGCTGCTTCCTGCTCCGTGTCTGCAGGCTGAACGGCTCCTACGAAGCTCTGAGCGGCGGTTCCAGCATCGAGGGCTTCGAGGATTTCACCGGCGGCATCGCAGAGAGCTACGACCTGCAGGAGGCGCCGCCGTTCCTGTTCAACATCATGAGGAAAGCTCTGAGGCTCGGCTCGCTGCTCGGCTGCTCCATCGACGTAAAACCCGTTTAATCATGAGTTTGGCCTTTATTAGACAGAGTGCAGAGAGGCAGACAGGACGGGGGAACCTGGGCCTGCAGCCGGGTTGTGGGTCGCAGCCTGATGCCAAACCTTTTCTAATGAGTCCAGAGTTCAGAACCAGAGGTTCCAGCGTTGTTCTGAAGCTGCTGCGAGCGGTAAAGCTCCACCTCCAGAAGATCTGAAAGAGAGCAGTCATCAGCCAGAACCAGAAAAACACTAAGGGGCATACGAGGCACTTAAAATGAACCAATCAGAGCCTCACATCTGGATCTTTATTAAACATGTTTAATGTAAACCTTCCTGGTTCTGATCCTGTAGAACCAGAACCTTTGAAAGGAGGAAAAATGAAGCAGAAAAGACCAGCGAGACGGTGAACTGATGAGCTCACTCTTCCATTAATGTCAGCTGTTCTGATAATTGATCAGTTTGGGTCCATTTTAATGAAATCAGTCCAAACTCTGGTTTCAGCTCCTTCAGTGAACGGGTTCTGGGTTCTTTCCTCTGTGACGGTAAACTGAACGTCTCTGGACCAAACAACACATTTGAGGAACTCTGATCCACAGAACCAATCAGCGGCTGATGCGTGAACACTCATCGCTGTTAAGCGTTAGCTGTGAACGCTAGCTCTGAACGTTAGCTGTGAACGCTAGCTCTGAACGTTAGCTGTGAACACTAGCTCTGAACGTTAGCTGTGAACGTTAGCTGTTAAACATTAGCTGTGAACGTTAGCTGTTAAACGTTAGCTGTGAACGTTA